TAAAATATATGTTGCCTTAGCCATAAAGTTTATAAAATCTAAGGTCCTTCTTCTCCATGCATTTATTCCCTCTATGGCAATTTGCCTCTAGAGCCACCCTTGTCATTACAAGGTGTCATTAGCATTACCATTATTCTGTCTCCTCTTGGACCCATCTTCTCTGTTGGTTTCCACTTCTGTCATAAATTAGCACATGATCTTCCTGTATTTCATATGCTGTAGACATAACATTTAGATCTTTGGGAGATCTGTAGGTTTAGTATTTTCATGAAGTTATTTATTTTGGGATGCTATGGTGATGAGAGTATGCATTGGCAGTGGAAAAGAACAGGTTATATGAGGCCCTAAAGATGAATCCAGAATCTTAAGCATGTCAGGAGACTTCATATGGGAGAAAATCTTGAGAAATATAGACTCCTTTGGTTAAATTTTGTTCATAGTAAGATTATTTTAAATTTCATTAGCTTCTGTTTTTGAGTTTTGAAAACAGAATTTTTTTTAAAATCTCATATTCAGCTGTCATAGACTCAAGGATCAGTGACTTCATTCGCAAAATCTTTGAGGCTAAAAATCCCCCAAACAAACACGAAAACAAGACAGACCTAACTGACTGAATAGACAGGTTTCTGGGTGCTTGTACAAGGTTTGGATCACTGTCTATAGAACTGCTTACAGTAATCGTAGGACAATCGTTGGTATTTTCAACAAAGATCATTTTTCAATTTTTATTGTCCTTTAAAATGCCAGCTATACTAGACACAAAATACTTTTTCCTTTAATTAGTTCAATCTTCAGCTATATATAAATGTATTTTAGTCTAGCCAGAATTCTAAAATAAAATGAAAAATGCATATGAAAATTTCATTGTGAATATTTCTTTTTTTTCATTGTGAATATTTCTAAATACAGTCAAACTAAAAACAAAATTGAATACAAAGCTTTAAATATGTCACCTTTTATGAGTATTTACAGTAGAATTTGCAATTTTAAGGTAATTACTACTTAAAATGATCACTGGATCCACATAAGATCAACATGATATCAATGCACCCAATTTTACCTTAACTGGAAACACCCGCAAAAAGTAGACAAAAAGTTTTTCCACAAGTATTTATAGAAGATTATTTTCCTATTTTGTGAAAACAACTGATAATTGACATGAGCCAACTTAACAATTCTAATACATGAGCCTCTGAATCTAATTTTCCTAAAGCAGTTTTATTCACTTCTTTTCAACTATCTCCATATTTTTATACTGTATTGTGCAAGTCTCATAAAGTCTAAATTGTCCTTGCTAGATTGAATGCAGTGCTGTATAAGTAGAAAGACATGTCCCTGTCTTTTAAAAAAAAGCTGTATTGAAATATAATTCACAAATAGAAATTTCATTCACTTCAAGTGTATAACTTCATGATTTTTAGCTAATTTATACAGCTTATTTTTAATACTTTGTTTTACTGATTTAACCATAATTCACCCATGACCATAATTCAGTTTTAGAACATTGTGCCTCTCTGCAGTTAGTGTTCCCTGCCATGTAGAGCCCTGAGGCAGGTGCCACTCTTCTTGGTGGTGGTGTTGTTTTGAGACAGGGTCTCACTATGTATTTCAGATGCATTTCATTCTAGGTAATTTGTAGTGATCCTCCTGCTTCATCCTCCTGAACGTTGGGACTACTGGCATGTACTACCACACACAGCTTACTCTTCTGCTTCCTACTTGTGTACCACATCTGCTTTCCCTAGAAAGGTCATATGTAGGGCTGGGGAGATGGCTCAGTGGAATAAGCTCTTCCCTGGCAAGTGCAAGGGCCTGAGTTCAACCCCTGGTTCCACCAAAAAAAAAAAAAAAAAAGGTCATTTGAAGGCAATCCCATAGGATGGTGGTTTTTGTGTCTTGCTTCTTTTACTTAGCATAACCTTTCATGGTTTATCCATATTATAGCTTTTATCACTATTTCTTTTTACTGATGAATATCATACTTTTATTTATTCCCCATCTATTGGACATGTGAAAATTTTCCAGGTTTTTTTGTTTGTTTGTTTGAGACAGTCTTGCTATGCAGTTCAGGATGTCCTTGAGATCTCTTTTGTAGCCCAGGCTGGTCTCAAGCTCACAACAATCCTCCTGTCTTGACCTCTGGAGTGCTGGGATTACAGGCATGCACCACTTGGGATCTGGGGCCAGCACAGCGAGCCAGGGAACCTAGGGCTGGGGATTGAACTTGGGACCTTGCTCCTGCCAGGTAGGAGCTTATGCCTCTGAGCTATCTCCTCATCCCCTCCAGTTTTTGAATATTACAAATAAAGCTTCTATAAATATTTGTGCAGAATTTTTCTGGGTAATATGCAGCAGGATATATTTTTGCATAACACATATCTATAATATGTATGTACATAATGTTTACATACACATACTTCTATAACTAGCACCTTGAGCAGAAGATAGCATGTTTGGCTTATTATATTTAATAAAAATTATTGCGTTTACTAGTTTATGAACATTGCTTTATTTTTAATTATAAAAAGTTTATGTATTTAGTACACAGTCTACAGGGTCTCACTACATAGATCAAAGTCATAGTGATCTTTGTGTTCTCAGCCACCCAAACACTGGGATTACATGAGTGTGCTACCTATCTGGCTGGCCCGAATGTTGAAAGACTTACTTTACAACTCTATTAATCACTCTTACTTTTTTGACAGTTGTTATATAATCTAATTTCATATAGTATAAAAACTTATAAGACATAATTATTATTGCTGTTTGAATCAAGTAATAGTCTAAAAATTTATAAAATTATCCATATCTGTGTTTTCTGACTTCCTGAGAATTTAACATCATTTTCCTTTAACAAGACTGTTGGCAATTCTTGGAAACATTTTCATTTTCTTTCCTTTAATTCTTGAAATCTTTTTCCCTCTGAATATAAAACTCAAAGTTAGTGTTCTTTCTTCCTTTTATCTTTCCTTTCTTCCTGCTGTTCTCTCTGTACCAAGCACTGAAGTTAGGGCTTCCACCCTGAGCTACTCCCCTGACCCTGCTTTAAAACATTGAACTATTCTGCCATGAAGCCAGTTGACCAGACTAGGGCCTCTGAAATCGCAAAGGAAAATAAACCTCTTCTCACTGAGGCTGACCTTCCCAGGTACTTGTTCACAGCAATGAAAAGCTAACACATGTGGTTCTGTTAAGTCAGCTGGCAGACTTCTTTGCTTTCTTGAATTTTCTGTCTTTTCCTTCTGGTTCTTTTTAAAATCTTGCTTTTAGTTTTTAATACTTCATAGTACAATGTGTTCAAAAAGAGATCTGCTACTATAGCGAGTTTGATTTACATTATGTTAGGGAGAATAGACCCCTTCTAGGGGTGGAAGCATCTAAGTTGCTTACTATAGTTTAATGAAGGATTGAGTTGTGTCCAAAGTGGGTTGCAAAGTTTCAGTTTAAGACCAAGTTCACCTGTGGTTCTTTCTTGTTCCTCAGACATTCTTACCCAGGCTTTTGCTTGAGGGCTTGGTGTTCTCTGAGGTGAATCACATTCCTTCCTAGACAGCTCCAAAACATGGCAGAGCCTTCCCCTGAAGTGTTTATTCACTTTGTTTATTCCTCCCTCATGATAAACTTTTGCCCACTAATATCTGCAAAACCCAGAAATTACATGTTATCTTCCACATTTTCTTTTAGAAGCTTCGGGCACAACTGTACCTCCGAATTTAGCCACTCTGGGTAGAAAATAGGTTAAAATATATCCGTACGTGTTCTCTGGTCTTTAGCTGAGCTCCCATGCTACTGCCAAATGTGTGCTGGGTTCTCTTCGTCTAAATTTTTCTGTTTAAGCAAAGTCAGATTGATCCTCAGTTCCATGCTAAAATCCACAAATGTTTAAAAGGTCATCAACACACCCAGGAAGGACTTTTCCCTTCTACAATTTTAGTTTGACTTATTTTCTAATTTTTCAAAGGAACTCCAGGTGATTTGTGCAACCTGTTTTTTTTCCCCTCTAGTTGCTCTAGTGGAGGCCTTCATAAACAACTTAAGGGACATTTAGTTCATTTTGATTCATCAAAATAGTTCAGAGTGTTTAAAATGAAAAACAAAAAAACTTTTTTTCTTTAAATTGGAAATGTTAGCAGCACAAATTTTCTTTTTCTTTTCTTTTCTTTCTTTCTTTTTTTTTTTCCTTCAGCACTGAAGACTGAATCCAGGGCACTCAGGATGCTGGGCAAGTGTTCTAACACTGAACTAAAATCTCCATTCCCAGTTTTCATTTCTTTTTAGCTTGCATTTCCAGCTCCTAAGAAATACATTGCTTAACTATACCACTAAAGTGGATTTCCAGAGTATACAGGTAAGTCTCCATTAGCAATCTACTCACAACTAAATATGCATATTTGATACTACTTTTTTTTAAATTGTGTATTTGGTTCAGGGTCTCTCTACTCAGCACAGACTCATAGTGATCCTCTTATTTCAGCCTCTTAAGGGCTGGGATTACAGGCCTACTCCACCACATCTGTCCCAGGGGTGGGACTGGCACAGCACAGAAGGCAGGGATTGAACCCTGGTCCCTGTGCCTGCCAAAGCAGATGCTTAGTCCACTGAACTATCTCCCCGGCCCTTTGATAATATTTTAGTATGCATATCTTTCCTCTTTCATTGTCTTATTTCTTTTTTTAAAGGCACGGTTTTGCTATGAGAATTAGGCTGGTTTTGAACTCACTGTGCAGGCCAGGGAGCCCTGGAACATGCTGTGACTGTCCTTTCTCCACCTCTCAAGTCCTACGGATGTGTCCCACCATGTCCAGCTCTCGGTGCCTTTAAAACAACTTGAAAATATTAAGTGGCAATTTAAGATTTATCTTTGTGAGATTGGG